CAACAGGTCACACCACACGCCTTTTCGAAGCAAGTGGGTAAACAGGGCCAGGACTGCGGGGTTTTTCCTCCGCCTTTAAACTTCACGTTGATTTACTTTTTGCCGCAGAGCGCGGAAACGAGGAAGGGGTGCGGGCGGCAGCCGAGGTGCGGCGGCGCGGCAGGGCCGAGGGGGTGGCTCAGGGCGACCGTCCAACTAGTATTTCAGGAAGCGGGCCGCGCTGGGGCTGCTGTCATTGTTCCCCGCTCCTCCGCGGCACTGCCCCCAACGACCGCCCCTCGGGCCTCGGCCCTCCGCGCCCTCCCGCGCGCGCCCCGCGGCCCCACCGGGGCCCGCACTCGCTCAGCCCCTCGGGGTCCCGACGAGAAGTCAGGTCTGGGAAGCACTGTCCTCAGAACCCCTCTCGTTCCCCCATAACTTGCTCCGGTTTTTACAGCTAAATCCTGCCCCGGCCACGCGGCAGCCTCTACAGCAGAGGCCAGGCAAGGCCTCGGGGAGCCGTGGCAACCACCCTCCTCCCTGCCCGAAGCAGGTCTTTGACCCAGGAAGCCCCAGCCTGTCCCCTTACCGTCCCCTCCCCCGTCTCCCCCCCCCCACTCCATCGGTGCAAACGGATGCGCGTACTCTCCTACCCCCTCCCCATTTTTCTCCCGAGCCTCCCCCAAGAAGGACTTCGGTTGTGCGGGTAGGGGGCTGGGGGAAGACAGACAGGAGGAGGCTCCAAAGTGCGGCCGTGGGGGAGAGTGACTTCAGCTTCCCGGCACCCCGCAGCACGGCTCAGAGGTGGCATCTGGGCGGCTCTCACACGCTCCCGCCCACGCAGAGTTCCCAGGACTCGGGCGCGAGCAGCCTTGGCCTTCCCCGCGCCGACTCGACCGTGGTGGCCGCGGCGCCCGGATCTGGGGCTGCGCTCGGAGGGGGCTGGTGGCCTGGGAGGCCGGGGTGGGGCCCGCCAGGCACAGGTGCAGGCTGCGCTCGCCGCGGGAAGGGGCCACGGCTGGGGAGGGGGAGCCCGGTGAGGCGGGGGCCGGAGGACGGGGTGCGGGGCGGTGAGGGATTCTGGAGCCCTGCCCGCCCAGGGCCCGAGAGGGTAATTTCAGCCGCTCTCCCATTGTCCCGACGTAAAGATTTCAGTAGGTAGGCGCTCCATGCCCAGAGCAATGGCAGCACGTCCGTTACAAAGGGGTAGTTTTGTTTCTCTTGTCGCTACACGGAGTCAAACAAAGCCCCGTCTAAGTTTCCTTCCACTCTCTTGTTGGGATCTTTGTGGCTAAAATGCACTTGACTACAAAGGGGGGGGGGAGGGGAAAAAAGAAAAACAACACCCTGATGCCATTTCTTTTTTATGATGGGCTGAAACCATCAGGGTTACTTATTTTCTTTCTTCTGTAACACTCCCTCCGCCCTCTCCTCCCTGACCTACCCATGCTCACCCTAAGAAAATGGACTCAAGAGATCTACCGGCCACGTCCCATTTATTGTCTTTGCAAAACGGTGCCTGGTTTTGTTCCTTACTGTCTTCCCACTAACCGCCCCCCGCACCCCCCAAGCTTCCTCCAGTCCCCGCCTGCCCTGGCCTTTCTGTTCTGGGCAAACCCCAGCTAAGCGCGCCCACTGGAAATCCAGAAAGGTGATGAATAAAAGAATCCCGCAGACTCTTGTTAATCAATTATTATTCCCAATCAACCCCTCTTCCCCTACAGGTGCTCATTTTTCTCTTACCATTTTGTGTTTGTTTTGGGGACTCGAGAAGGGTGAAGTTGGGCTTCTCGGAATGTATACATATATGCTATCGGTATTCTTCAGAAGAAAGCAACGTCTTGTGTTTAATCGAGGGGTAATACTAAGCAAACGCTGACCTAGAGATTAACAAACCGAAAAGGTGGAGAGCTCTGGAGGGGCGAAGGCCGTCACCGGCTTTTCAGCGCGGCTGGTTTCACGGATGTGGCTGGTGCGCCCCCTACTGGTGGATTTGTTTCCCCAAGACTATTGCCTCTTCCTTAAAAAGAAAGTGTTTGGAAATAATTAAAGCAAAAAAAATGAGGGGGATAGGAGGAAGATCAAACTAATTACACGTAATCTAAACAAAAGAAAACTTAACATATTATACAAGCTGTGGACCAAATCCTAAGAATCAGATTTAATTTGCTTAACTTAGAAATGTACATATAACCTCGAGATAAGTAGGAGGTTAAACCATGGGGAAAAAATACGTACAAATTATGAGATTCAACATATGAATGAATTATGGTTGTCCAGACGCCACGAAGGGCAGATCCAGCGTTCACTTTATGATTGTGTATACATTGGTCTGCGCTTAATCGCATTCTTCCGAAAACTTACAAAAAAAAAAAAAAAAAGCTTATGGATAATTAAGTTTGAAGGAAAAAAAACCAAGGGGCTGGTACGATAATAGTGATATGTATGTATTAAATAAATATAAATAACAGATCGTTATAGAAGTAAGTCTTTTTAATCTCTCTCCCTGCCTCAATAGTAGCAAGAGGCACAAATTTTTTCCCTGAAGGTGATATATAAAAGCTTTTATACATTCTCAGATACAGGCATTTGAGCCTGAACTCTATCATAATGCATTTAAGAGGTTAAAGGGGCTGCTAGGTCCTTTGTTAACTGCTTTTATCATATAAATAAGCTATGGAAATACATTCCGATTGTGTTATCCTTGGTTGCATTTATTTACAGCTTTGTTTTAATTGAGCCTCTGCTGTAGTTATCAAGGCGATAAACTGACTGCAGCCGGCGCTTATGAGTAATAATGTGCCATGAAAATAAGATTAAAGAAGACGGTGATAGAAACAATCTTCTCATTAGAGTCTCTGGAACATGTGCATTAAAAAAATCAGATTGCCGGCCACTCTGTTTCAACCCCTAAATATAATCATAACTATAACAATCACCATACTTGACAGAAGCAACACTGGTTTAGGTTCAGAACAGACAGCTACAGTACTAATAACAACGCACCACTGACTACTAGAGAATCAAAATAAAATTTGGAACAGAGTGCTTCATCCTATGGGAATGTAAAACGTTGCCGTAGACACGGTGTATGAAAATAGAAAGTGCTTAATCTAAACAGAGCGAAACATTTCCTTTCCATGGGCAGAAAAAAAAAAAAAAAACTAAACTAAGAACTTTTAGTGCAAGATTAGTAAAAAAAAAAAACAAAAAACAAAAATGCGTAACTATTGGAATATTCTGATTTGATTTTGTTTTACTGTAGGCTAGATCCAAAAAGGGCTGCTAAGTGTAACTCAGTTTTAAAGATTTTTTTGCATTGATTTATCTTTCCTAAAGCCTCCACATCCCTCCTCAAGCATTATATCTAAAGCCAGCTAACAATTTTGTGGAGACAGGGAACTGTAGACTTATTTTTTCTTCTTAGTGGCAAATAGAGGTTTAACTTGCAGTAATTAGGTGAGAACTAGCCAAGCATCTTACTATTATGATGCTTGTTAGAAAACGCTTCTTTTCTGCATCTGAATTTGAGTGTGTTCCCCTCCTCTCTTAATCTTCTTATGGAAATGAAGGTAAACGGCAGGGAACCTGCAGAGTCTTGGAGAATGTCCTTGTTAACTGGAATTTCTCAGCATTGCTAATTAGCAGAGTTTGACGACCACCAGTATTGGGGGAAAGCTGTTTAACCACTCACAAACCATTCCGAGGAAGAGCAGACTAATTTTATTTTGTAATTAAAATCTGAAAAGGACCCTATTTGACAGTTAGGGCTATGAGAGTTTTATCTCCCCGTGAAATAATTACTGCCTTGATAACTCAATTTTCTGAAAAAATGTCAACTGTGGGTTCCAAAAGTTTTAATTTCATTACATAAGAAAAGAGAGAGAGAGCAACAGAAGAAAATGTACAAGCAGGCTTTCTAATTCTGGAACTGGTTAAATATATTAGGAGCCAGATTTGGCCAAATGAAGGTTTTTTTCCTACTTTTTGGCGGGGGGGGGGGGATCGTGCTTCCTCCAGATCCTAACCTTCCAACTGTGTGCATGAAGGTGACTGCAGCGTTGCTCACACTGCAGTGTAAGAGATCATATCAGTAGTCTGGTAAGTCAGAGAGGCATTAGCAACCCAAGACAAGGTACTGATTTTCAAAGCAATAAGTAAAAAGCCAAGCAAAATGTTTAGGACAGTGTGCTGCAATCTGGTGAGATGAAAATATTTTATGTGTATTTATCCCCCAACACAAGGAGATAAATAAGCCAATTAAGATTGGCATACGCCAATTTTTAAAAAGTTTCTCTCCCCTCTAAGTCACAAAAAAATCTCAACCGCTCCAAAAGGGGGAGCACGTCACACTACTTCCAGACTGATCAAGGCTTGAATCTCCAGGATTTATGGAACCACCACAGGTAAATGAAGGTAAAGAAATGCACTAGGGGATTGCTTTTCCTTGAAACAGCATCATAGACCTTTCAAAAACAATCAACAAACAAGCTGGGGAAAGTTAGTATATGGTAAAGTAACAGCAAGAATTAGAAATAGAATCGCATCCTGTTAACAGACGTCATTGCTTTTAGACTGTGAAGGATCCCTCCCAGGGAATCCTGGGGAGGGAGTGGGGTGGGGCGGGCAGTTTAATTTTTATAAAACAATTTTCAAAATGATAGAAACTTTTTCCATCTACGTTTCCCCCATTTTTTTTCCGGTGTTGAACTTGTCAGGTTTTGAAAGTGTGAAAGATTGTTGGCATGGATTATAATAAATATTTCTAGATGATACAAACAGCCAGCATATACTTCTAGCCCTTTCTATTTACCAAGACATAGATATGCATATGGATGCATGGTAGATTGGCAATTTAAAATTGCTTAATCATATTTCGTCCTTCTTGTCTGTCCCTTCAGCACCTTGCCTTTAATTCCCAGAAGTGGTATTACACATAACAAATGAATAAGGGGGTAGCAAATGCTGTTTGAGTCCAGACCCAATTTCACCAAATAATTTCACTCAAGAGCGGTAAGGACCCTTGAAACCTAAGGAATGCAGAGCTGTTCTGCATTCAGATCCTTTTCTCACTAATTCTCTTTCATCTAATTCCCACTGATGGAATAAATACATTTTTAAAAGAATTCAATGGTTAGAAAACTAAATATATTTCCCCCTTACTTCAAATTATAGCAACAAAAGTAATATACAATCACTTGTGTGTGTGCTCAGGGCTGTATATAATACTCATATTCTTTATAATCTCACATACATACCTACATCTTTTTTATTTTCCAGCTCAAATACTTGTTTTGGAATAAGAAATATATATGTATATATGTGTGCATATGCATATACATATGCGTATACATAGACCTATGTATAGACATTCATCTTCTATATCACAAGTTTAAAGAGAACATATACTTTATCAAGCCAAAATGCACAATTCCATATCCATTTCTGAATTATCAAGCAATTTCAACATAAGATAAACTTATGCCCCTGCACTACAGCTGTTATCCAGGGAAAAACTGAAGTGTTCGCATGAAAAGGGCTAATTATTTTAAACAGCAATTCCCTTACAAAAGATAAGCTAAAAACTTAAAGTGCTTTACTTTACCAGTGGTTTTGAGTTGCCACCAATGGTTTTGAGTAGTATCAAAAAAAAAATGAACCCATGATTTCGATTTTTAAAAGTAGGAGAAGGGAATAAAAACAAAACAAAACATACCAGCAGACAGATCACCGGAAAGTCCAGGTGACCAGACAAATCCACAGATGCTTTCACACCTGTAATCATTGCTTGGGAATCTAAATACACATCTCCCTGACTGCCCACACTATCTTGTCCAATTAATCCCGTAAAAAGAATGGGGATTCTCTACAGCCCTAATTTTCCAGTGGCTAGGGTTGTTACTCTTGTTTTAGGGATAAAACGATGGTTTTAAATTCTCCAGCTGTGATTATTTCATTTAGTTGTGACTACAATTTTCGTGGGAAAAGCAAATGTAAGCCTTCCTTAAGGTTTCTCTAGATTGGATTAAATGACATGTGGCTGTCACCCCAGTGCAGCCTAGGCCAGGTCACTGCAACAGGGAGACCCTCTTTTTGCTTAGCTTCTCCCCTTTCAAGCTGCACACATGGAGTTTAGGCTTCTTTCTTCTGGAGATTCGATGGCACGTACTGCTCCTGTGTTACCTACAAGTCCCCGTCCCACACTTAATACAAACCCACAAAAGTGACCAAACCCATCCAACCTCAGAGGGCAGAGGTGTTTGGCACCCCAAAAGTGAGTTAGGGGAAGAAATTAGAAATCCTAACATGTGCATGAGGGGCAGGACCACTGTCAAAGGGAAGGAAGGAAGTCTTTCACCTGTAGCACAAAAAAAGCTGAAAGCAACCGACTGGGGGCGAGGGGCGGGGGAAGGGAATCACCCTACAATCACCATCAGCCCTAAGTGAAACTATTACCACTCTTTCGCAAACATTTGCAGCTGTGGCTCACCCTGCAAAGTGCTCTAAATGAAAGCACCCACCCATCCTGGCGGGCTGGCATCCTCAAGGCCTCCCACTGACACCTGCAGCCCTTTCCCCAAAGCTCTTCTGGCCTCAAAAGAGATGTCTGAGCAGCCTGCCTTCCCAGGGGCCCACTTCTGCTCCTCCCTAGCGCCCCCCTTTGAGTCCCGGGCTCAGATGCAGTTGGGCTTCCAAACCCATCCCAACTGGCCTGATAATCTTGAAAGGCTCCTTCCTAGCTGGGGCCCTGACTTTCATCTCCCCTCCCACCCGTCTAAGGAGCACTGGTGGCGCAGTGGTTAAGCCCTCGGATGCTAAAAGAGAGGTCGGCGGTTTGAACCCACCAGCTGCTTGGGAGAGAAAGATGTGGCAGTTTGCTCCCATAAAGATTTACTGCCTTGGAAATTCTATGGGGGCAGTTCTACTCTGTCCTGTAGGGTCCCTATGAGTCGGAATCAACT